CTCCACGGCCGACGCTACGGCGAAAACCCTGGTTCAGGCTAGTCACGCGATTTTTTGTTACGCTTCTTCCGTGAGGGGGCGGGGGGGGATGGGTGTAACACAAGTATAGCGCCAAAATCACATCCGGTTCAAACAGCGTGTTTCTAAGGACTGAATATCGAGTCTGTTTAACTGCATAGCATCGTGTTTCGATACAATTGCAGATGAAATGGAACGATGATTTAGATTTTAAAGTCATGATATTCCTGGCTGGTTTACATTCCACTATCAGAAATAGTTTATCTAATATTAATCAAAACAAGTTATTTTTTTTTTATTTTTTTACCTTAGATGTCCTGGTGGTTCTCCAACAGGTTATACGAAGTTGCTAATATATACCGTTGCTGCGACATAACCTGTGTTGCATTTGCCTTGTAAATTCGCTCATCAACGCCCAAATTAAGAAGATGCATGGTTACGACAGACCTTCGAAAACAACCTAGACAGCCTTAGTGAAGCATTTGAAAAAATGGCAAGTTTGAAGTTTGCAAAATCGTCTAACAATAAGAAATGGTTATGCTGGAAGTGATACAATTAGGAGACTGTAAAAATGCATGTTAATATAAATGCATGTTATCCAATTGTCAATCGAAATACAGCCGTCTTTGATCGCAGCTATTCTTCGATACAGTGCTGTTGGAATCTCGTCTCAGTTCAAACTGAGAGCCCGGACATCGCCCGTTTGTATAGTATTCAGATGAAATTTATCCAAACTCTCGCCTGAAGAACTAGAACTGCTTGAATCCGACGAATCGCAGATTGAAGGTCATAACTTAAACGTTCGCGTTCAGGAGGAACTCTATACAAGTACGATGCAAAGTGAATTAAGACAGCAGCGGCGTCGAAGCACGCAATGGACGTCACAAAATCAGGGCGATGACCGAATTATCGTCAGCACGGAAATAAAAAATTGGGTTGAAACATGCAAAAAGCAAGAGCTTTAACGAGCGATTTCTGATTTACTATTTAACAAGTAGTCACCGACCGGGAGGTGATTACAAGCAGGGCCTGGTTAAAGGGGGGTCCAAAATTAAAAAGAAAATGAAAAAAATTTAGCAGAATTAAAAAAGAAAAAATTATCAGTTGGCTTACGGAGTTCATCAAATTATTCAATTTTTTAAAAACCTCCAACTTCTGGTTTCGAATTGCCCAATCAAAAGCGTCTATTTCTTTCTTTATCCAATAGGATTAGAGAGTGGTCAATTCGAAACAGGAAGTTCGGAGTTTTTCAAGGAGCTTTTCAAATATTTGATGAACTCCGTAAGCCAACTGATAAATTTGAGCAAATGAATTACTTGGTATTTTTTGGAACGCTTCTATTGCGGCGACTGTAAAACAGCGTGCATGGTTATCCATGACAAAATATTTGATTTGTTAACCAAAGCATGGTTAACATTGCCCGAAATGCAGGCCAATATGGACGTCAAACAAGCGTGAATTATCGTCAATTTTACCGATCTTGAGGACAATTCGAGATGCCTAAGTATGTTTCCGAGAAAGAATATTTTCACCATTGAAATTGTATAAGAAAGAATATACTCCGGGCATATTACTGCTCCATTTTCTGCTTGTTGTTTGCATACATCGGCCAATGTCCACGTTCAAGATGGTTTGTAAAGACTCTTGCTTTATGCACATCCCATTTAGAAGCTTATAAAAATACGCGTAAATGTGTTCACCAACGCGATGAGGTTCATCAATTTCGTAAAGTGATTTTTGGACGCCATTATTTTCTTTTAGCTGTTGCTTAAGACTAGGCATGACCTGAAGATTTGGCTTTAAGTTTCCGGCCGGCTACAAGAAATTTGATTGGTTCCGCAAAACGAATGAGCCAATCAAATTTGGAGAAAAAATATATAGACTTTTAAGTTTGACGTAATTGTATTTCATATAAAGTCGCCTCAATACCAACAAAAAACTGGGCTCTAGTCCCTGTAACTTTCAGCGTTCGGCCCTATCCCTTGTCTTTTTGTCTCACTCCACGTGCAAAGCAGCCATGGATCTTACTGTTCGAGAAGGAAAAGATCAATAAATCAATCAATAAATACCTGCTAATAAAATGGGTGAAATGGCACTACATGGTCCTATTTAAACCATGTTATACAAAAAATTTAGTTCATAACATAGGCTACTGAGCAACTAAGGATTGGGATCTGCCTAGATATAACTCCACATTTTGTGGTATTTAAATACCACTGTGTTCCTCTTGTATGTAGGTTGAGCAAATTTTACATGGGAATGGGATTCTGATCTCCTTGGTGCATATTAAATTGTTTATTGTACCAATCTAATATATATATTAATAATTCTCATACACTCAATACACTGTATAACTGTATACCGATGCACGAAGACTTGCTGTAAATAATTATAAGGTCATGGTATATTTCATACTTATTTCAGTAAAAATCATTTTTGTATTCTCATGAAGATGCACTTTCAAGAGTTATAAGTCTTCAACTGAAGACATCAACACATGCCGAGTTATGCACTTGCTGTTTTAGATGAGACAACTCGATTTTTAATTTTTCACTTTTTAAGAGAATCATTTCCTTGTGCAATTTTAAAACCTCTAACTGCATTTCCAGAACTACCTGCTGTGTCACCTTTTTAGGCTTAGCTGTGGGCTTGGTAGCATTGGTGTTGCTTTTGGGTAGGGTTTGGGTGGGATTACTGCCTGCTGCCAATTTAGGAACAACTGTTTCATCTTCCTCTTCTGAACTGTCAAGCACATCTGTTTTGAAAATACCAGGTTCCCTGTTAAATGGTTGCTCATTTTCGAACGCATTCACTAAAGCAGCACTGCTACATCTGGCTCTCTGATGCTGTTAATATGAGATTGATTCTGTTCAAAGAACATATTAATACAAGCTTAATACACAAAGTAACAACTAGAGTAGGATACGACAGATCTATGCATGTCTGCATGGCAAATAATATACAGTATGAACACAAAGAAAAGCAACAAAACAAAAATATGTAATAAAGGAGGGTCATATAAAGATTGTAGCAACACACATCATAAAATGAAAGAAAAATACTTATCTTTGTCAGCTAAATACTGTTATAAAAACATAAAACTCCCCACGTTGTTTTTAAAATGCTTCATGTTCAAATTGCAATTGCCATGCGCATTGCATGGAAACAGTCAAAGAGACATGCCCAATCTCGCCCTAAAACAAAATTTGACTGACTTACCGCTCGTTTCAAAGCCATCTAACCCCGTGAAAAACGGAGTGTTTTCAAATAACCGAATTATTCTTTCAGTAGACCCCTTCGGTTTTTTAGATGGCGGACCTCCTCCTGTCCTTTCAAAACTCTTCCTTTGCATGGCGAAACGATATTGGTGTGATGAATCGTTAACTCTTAACAATAACCAATGAGATAACAACACTTGGGTTGAACAGTGCGCAGACAAATCGAACTCGACAGAATTTGTTAATCGAACAAGTAAAATATTAAAAACTTTAATCCAAATTGTTGTGGGGTTGATACACGAGAATTGATACAGAATTGTAGCAATTGTTAATCGTGGAAATCGGTTCGAACTAAATAACATGACAATGCAAAAAATATCTGTTACTGAATAGTAACACAATAACTAATTTTTCACGCAGTATCATAAAACCATGCGATTATATGAATAACAAGAAAATCTATGGAATATACTATGAATTAAGTCTAAAGTCTGTACACGATAAATCCTTTGACCATATAACAAAATAAAACGCACGCTACGAGTAACTTAACTAAAGTCCCGTTTACACTACACTCGATATATTGGCACGGCACGGCTAAAATGGGTACCCGTGCCCATTTCTTCCGTGCTCGGCCTTTGTTTTGGTAGCCTGAACACTAATATAATTGGGTACGGGTACCCATTTTAGCCGTGCTGTACCAATAAATTGACTGTAGTGTAAACGGGCCATAACAATGAAATTGTACTGGCATTAAAGAAAGATCAATCTGTACTTACTTTGGTTACCATGCGCACCGACGTTGCCGTTTTTGCTTTTGTTTACAACGTGAAACCGAAACAAGTACACAAACGAACATGGATAGAAATTTTAAATTACACTAAATCCACCGAGATAAATTTTGATGTCCTCTTACTAGGAGCAAACACTTTGAATGCATTGATCTTCCTTGAGTCACGTAATTTTTACTAATAATCTACTGCCCGCAGGCATTTAATTTTACGAGTATACTGATTGATATAAAGCGTTAGATAGCGTGGCGTTAAGACTAAACTTGTCTAGGTGTTTCAAAACTGACAGTCTGCTTCATTCTCAATCAATTTACGTATAGTCGATTACAATAGTCGATTTACGTATATATCATCATTACTTAATTAACATCGGTCCATCTATCCAGTTCTACTTACAACTTTAATTATTGGGACATGCATACATTACAAGTGTCATTTTGTTCTTTTTCAAAGGCTAAATTTTGATCTGATTGCAGAGTGTGTTAATTGTGATTTGCAAGGTGTGGGTTCTATTAAAAATTTTAGGAACAACTTGCCTGGTAGAGGGAGTATTAAAAATGAGTGGTCCGACTATATATAACCCGAGAGCTGTCTTATGATGGAACAGGCAATTCAGTTAGTGTACATGTTGGGGAATGTTTATTTTTCCATTATCATTTATTTGAAACTATGTGATAAGCAGGTCTTACCTGTTCTGCGACTTCCGTTTTATTCGAATAGCATGTCAACATCTCTTCATGGAAACTATAATTAGTCGCTAGGGCACTTGTGCCGGCACGCATTTTTCGTGGATCGCCGATCGCAGGTCACCGTAGTATACAAATTTACATTATGACTATACGTAACGATTTAAAAGCAAATGAATAATATCTTGAAGTGAAAATGCCAATGATATATTAACAGTGAAATTTTATATCCAAACTGCTGATAGTCTGGAAAGCTCAATATATTTCCATAGCCCGAGGGACAGTGTTCATACTACATTGGTATTATAAGATTCATACGTGCTTTCTCCATCACTCGCTTTACTTAGGTCAGCATAATTTGAGTAACCATCGTTTGTTTCACTACTTCCTGACTTATAATAATTCTGCGCCACATTTTTGAGATCAACCGTTTCGTACACTGGATCTTGATTTGGATCTTGATTTGGATCTTGATTTGGATCTTGAACATCTGGACCTGGTTCCGCCGACCCTTTTCTTAGCCATCGCCGTCGGAAATAAAGCACAGCACATACAACAAAGATTCCAACAAGAATTCCAGCCACAAACATAATGAAAAACATATACAATTCAGTCTTATTATCACCCTCTTTGGAGTATAAGTTTTCTAAAAATGAAATGAAAAACGTAATTAACATTAATTACGGCATGCTGAGTCAGAGTGCATGTATGGGTATGGATCTAAGCCCTTGGTTTCGGTTAGCAATTGGAAAATGAATTTAATTAACCTGTGTTAATTGTTTACTTCAGCCTTCTTGGCAAGGTTAAGAAATGAAACTAAATATAACATGCTTACCATAAAAATTGACTTGAATTGAGTTCTTAGTGCTGAAAGTGAAGCTTTTCAACTCGCATATGTATGTTCCCCTATTAGTTCTGTCAACATTGCGCAAATCCAGAACATTTTTTTCCTTCTTTGTGTCACCAATCTGGACGTTTTTTTTATACCAAGTCACATCAGCTGGTGGGTATCCGTTTTTTCCCTCACAAAGACATGTTACATCGTCACCAACATTTACTGTTATTGCACTCGAGCAATTGATTGTTATATTTGGTTTTTCTAAAATATAACGGTGCATCTTGTCCAATGTTGAAAGAACGCAAAAATAATAATATTGATGCCTAAAGGCGGATTTCTACTTACAGCGAAATCGTTCCCTGGCGAAATATTTGCATATTTTCTTTTGAATTGAGAACACTCTGTCGCACTAATTTATTTATGCTGTTTAAATTCAAAAGAAAATATGCTAATATTTCGTTAGCGAACGATTTCGCTGTAAGTGGAAATCGACCTTAAGTAGCTTCTGTTACTGTTTCCAAACGGCTTAAAATACTTTTTAGGTAGTAAAGTGAATAATATACAGTAGGGGGCAAAAGTTTGAGTCCAGTCGTTGTAAAATTACATTATTAAATCCTGGCAGCGTATTCGAGTTAAGACTTGCGTGTTAGTGTTTCAGTACTGTAAACCATATTAATTGCACACTGTTTTGGTCCCAATGATCTAAATCATAACAAAATAAAGTTCTCATTCCTTTACCCTGCCAAGATGGGTGGGAAAAGGGCAAAGTGATGGTGCACAAAGACAAATAGTTGCATTAAGTATTGAAGGATTCTTTCCTCGTAAGGTCGCAGAAAAAGTGAGAATTTCAAAAGGTGGTAGCAACTAACCTTGGGGAGGTTTGAAGAAACTAAATCCTACTCAAGCAAACTTTTAGCTGCTTCGGCCATGCTGGGTTTGGCAATATTGAAAGATATAATAGGAGCCTAATTAAAGAAAAATATCATCCAATTCTTTAAGGACATGGAATTTCATCTGGTACAAACTAAGATAATCGCGCGTCTAAGTACATAATAATCACCCTATGCACATGCACATCTTCTGTGTGCCAGAAATCTTTTAGAAGCAAACTCGTTCTGGTGATCTCGTTCTCATGCTATTCCTCCTCAAATTCCTGAGGTAAAACATATGGAACACTTGTACGACCGTTTTAACCGGAAAAGGGCGAGGCACAGACCCACCAGCCAGGATGACGTGAGGCGAATGCTGGCAAGATATGGAACGTGCGACATTAAAAAACCTATGGAATCTATGCCAGCAAGAATAAAGGCCGTTTCAAGAGCAAAAAAGAGGGATACTAAGCATTGACATGTAATGCATGTTTGCATATTAACATACGTTAAATGACTATCATAATATGTCATAGTTGTTGTACAGCATGTATTTTTCAGCTTACTGATATAATTTTTTCTAGTTCACTTATCGGTAAGGTTTTCTGTAGAATATTAATATATGCTGCTAAAACAATGAAATGCAGTCACTGGACTCTTGCCTCCTACTGTATATATTATATATTAACCTATCGTTATATTCTTGTAAATTATTTAGCGATACTGCTCTTTGGCTGCTCCGACGTCAAAAGACTCCAAATTTTTCTACATCAAATTTATATGCTTCTGATAACCGAAAATTCGCATCGCGCCGGAAGGTGTCGGCCATTGCTGTCGACTCAAGTATTCGCTGCGTATATATTCGAAGAATAATATTTGACTGTTTTAAAAGTTGAATTTTTACCCTTTCTTAACCTCTGTAAGCAGAACCGCAGCTAAAATAAGCTTGATTTGCTTGGTTTGAAATGGCAAGGGGTTCGATACTGCATTAGCTAATGTATATTTCTGCTACAATGATACGTGGAGTAGTTGTAGCGATTATCTTGCAAGTTGTTTGTGTCATCATATATACTGTATGTCAAATTGTTTGCGATCGGCAAAGTTAATAAAGTAATTAAATGAAACTAAATATGCTTACCGAGACAAATTACTTCAATTGAGGTTTTATCTTTTAAATCGTTGCTTTTCCCTACACATACGTACGTGCCATTATCAGTTTTATCAACATTACTGAGTACCAGAACATTTCCTTCCTTTTTTGTGTCACTAATCTGGACATCCTTTTTATACCATGTCACATTAGCTGGCGGGTGTCCACCTTTCCCTTCACAAAGACACCTTACGTCGTCACCAATGTTTACCGTGATCGTATTCGAACAATTGACTGTTACATTCGGTTTTTCTGAAGTGTAATGCAATAAATAACATTTTAAGACTATGTGCACACGGTAATGTTTTCGAGAGTTTTCTCATTCGTTTTCATGCCAAAATGGTTCAAAACACCGTCAATAGACCTTTCTTATAATGACATCAAACGCGGAAAGTCAGATGTTACACGAAATTTGATTGGCTCCACAAAACTATCGAGCCAATCAAACGTCGTGTAACATCATACTTTCCGCGTTTGACGTCATTATGAAAAAGGTCTATTTGCAAAAGAAGTTGAAGCTAATTTAACATATTAAGCATTTTTTCCTTGTATCGTGTGAACAGGGCGTCTAAATAATAAAATAGATAGCTAAAAGCGATTTTAAAAACGCTTGAAAACGACGCTCCTGTGCACATATATAGCTTTAGAATGCCAGAGATATTACCTATGTGAGATGGTTATATTTGTGGATCCTGGTTGGAAAATATATTCCAGACTGCGTGTTCACAACAATATTTTTATCATCTTTGTATGCACGCTTTGCGCAATTTTTAATATTTACCGTTCAAAATCAGCTGAACAAACTTTTCATCCGTGACAGTAAAGTTTTTGCCAACACATTTGTATATTCCATCATGTGTTTCATCGAAATTACTGAGAGTCAACACGTTTTGTTCCTTTTTGTTGTCACCAATCTGGACACCATCTTTATACCATGTCACATTAGCCGCAGGTCTACCACCTTTTCCTTCACATAGACACGTGACGTTATCCCCAAGATTTACAATGATCAAACTGGAGCAATTTACTGTTACATTGGGTTTCTCTGAAATATGATGCATATGATATTATTTTCAAGGTGATCTCTTTTTAACCAAAAAACTGAATACCATGTCAAAACAATATAGGTTATTTTTTGTTAACAGAGTTTTTAATATTAATAATTCAGACAATTACACATATATGTACTTTACGGCATAAAAAGGTTTATGATAATAATCCTGATCATAATGGTTCTAGGAATTATTAATTATTAATTATTAAACCCTTTTTGAAATGCTTATCTAATAATTTCTCATCCTCGGGCCTTTTTGAGCACTTCGGGTTCCCGTTATCCTGCCCCCATTTTTGCTCTGCCCTCCTTTTGCCGACCGAATTTAAATTGTTATTTAAAAAGATGAATCGATTTTTATCGTTGTTTGCTTTATAATAAAAAAAGGCGATGCGGCGTTTACTGAACATCTGGAAGACGTTTTCGAAAATGAACACTAAACTAAAAATTACCGCCTTAAAAATTAACACCATAATCCGAAAGGCGGGAAACGAAACCTTCCACTACAAAAAATATGATTTATTCTATTTTCAAAACTTCTAAGGATGCAAACTTAAATGATCCCTAAGCGATCCTGAGTATTTTTTTTCTCTGAAATATATACAAAGAAGTTTACAAAAAGTTTTTTTAATTAGGGTCTTACCCCCGAACAGACAAAAGGGGTCGATTTTCTTATTATATTGTTTCATTGTTCGATTGTATTGTTCTCTAAAATTTATAAAGATAAAATTATGCGTAAACTAAAACTAAAATTAAAAAAACTAAACTAGAACTAAAATTCTCATTCCCATAACTTTCGTGCACGATAACTCAAAAAATAATCCCTCGCCGTTGCGATGGTAATAATTCCGACCGGAGATCAGGAATTACATCCGGTCATTGTGGCAGAAGATAGTGGAATCCAAAGCTGTCAAAATTCTATGTCATGGACGTTGGATGTTTTTGTTAGTTATGCGCATGCGCGAAATCTAAATGAGTGTAAACCGTTCATCCGCAACTTTCTGAATGGCTGTGTATGAAATTTGCATTTCAGTAAGACGTCAGCCATTTAAATGTAATGTTCTATTTATTCGAAATTCAGCTCCGAGACAAAATATTTAAAACCTTGTAAGTTATCGTGTATAAAAAATTCGTCTATTTTCCACCATTGGGTGTGTCTGGTCTACTTGTAATATGGCATAACATTTTTATATTTTTAAAAATTACCTGAAAAAAAATTTGTAGTGGACCACCTAAGATAACCAGATACGCTACGTTTGGAGAGACGTACCCGTACCAAATTTTATTAGTGTTCAGGCTATCAAAACAAAGGCTGAGCACAGATGAAATTGGTACGGGTACCCACTTTAGTCGCGCCGGGCCAATAAATCGAGTGTAGTGTAAACGGGGCTTTGGACTAACAAGCCTACTTAAATAAATAGTCCAAGCACGGATAAAAATGGTACGGGTGCCAGTTTTATCCTCACCGTGCAGTGTAAACGGGGCTTAAACTGCTTGTGAACGAGTCAGTCCCATTGTCGACATTTATAAATCTATTTTTTCTATTTGAATGAAGTAGAGAAGTTTTAGCTATTTAAAACCGTAATTATTTTAAAGAAACTGTTACTAATTCGTGTGCCGACTTCCGATTTGCGTCTTCAAGTACACCCTGCCCGCCTAATTGAGCAAAATATTCTTGTACTGAACTTTAAAACAATTTCATAGTCATGTAGCCTTCCATATTTAGGTAATCATTTGTGAAGCCCACTATTGAGCTTTAATAGACGGATATCTCCTTATTATATTAATAAAAACGTTATTATCGTCCGAAGGCGAGGGAGGTTTGTGTAATTACACAAACCTCCCGAGCCTGAGGGGGCATTTAATCACTAATTTTCCTCATGTCATGATATTAGTTTGTAATATCATGTTCAGCGAGGGTGACGTAGCGTATAATTGGTTTTATGTATTGTTAAATAAAATTCATATGTGTGCATCTCATTGCTTGCATGCTTGCTCATGCTTACGGAAGCGGGCGAATTAGGAGTTAAAGGCCCGCTCTAAACAATAGAACCCGAGCTGATCATGATATTATAAAGACTTATCTGATAACTTTTACCTGCCAAAATGCATTCAACTCCAGCATCTTCGAAATGTTGGCAATTATGAATACCCCAACCTCCATGACTACAGCTTACTATAGTCTGCTCTGTTCCGGTGCATTCGACATCATCTAACCATATCTGTCCAGAGCCAGCATGAACCATGGGCTTCTGAAGGGATCTGGCGGCATCCGGGTGACCAAGTTGACGACAAACAACCTGAGCATCCCTGATATCCCAGCTGTCACCACAGATAGTTCCCCAAGTTCCATTGTAGAATACCTCAATACGCCCAGTACCATTTCCAGTTGAAGGCCCTTGTAATCTAAGTGACACTGTAATTCCTGCAAAAAAAAGTGAACATGGACGATTGGATATGTTCCTGAATGACACCATAACTATATAGCTAAGAACTGGTCACTCAAATAACAAATAGCAATTTTTTCGAACTGGTAGCTAGGTATTCGTTTCGCTATTTTTTACTTACTTGTATAGTTATGAATGCAGTTCTTTTACTTAACCGGGATTTCGTTTAAACATTTTCATTTTAAAATTTGAAATAACATTAAATATAAATTTCTTCGTGCATTGACGAGCGCGTATGATTCGCAGGAGCATTAGGGTAAAAGATTGATGGAATATGACATTTTATTGAACTTCACATGCAGAGGGAAAAAATGTACTAGAAAAGCAATGTTTCATTTGTTTGGGTTTTACGGGCATTTCATTTTGTAGTCGTGCATTCGGTCTGGTATTCCATAGCATTTTTTGCCAAAACGGGCAAAAAGATACCTAAAATTAACCGAGTAAAGAAGGTAATTTCACACATCTTTATATCTTTATTTAATATTGGCTATGTATATTTTTTGTTATTTCAGTAAATATTTCCAATTTTAAATTTTGTTTATGTTCATGTTTCTCACATGCTTCATGTTTATTTCGCATCTCAGATTTAAAACAACTTTCGGTAGCAGGCCTAGCCAATATTTAATTTCAAACTGAAAGGACTTCCCACTTTTGAAGGAGCCGCTACAATACTTGAGAAAATACAAATGCTTTCGCTGCACGAAATATTGCCCCCCAAAACTTTTACCGACCGGTCATTTAGGTATTGTGACGCGAATTCGTGAGCTGTTGAAAAAAAAGGTTTTCCATTTAAAGTGTCAAACTATAACAAGTAACCGCGAAGAAGAGCAACACGTTTTTCGACGCTTTTCGCCTTCCTTGTTTTTACAGCGCGCGAGGCAGCTCGGTATGGATTTTTAATTGACAAGGCCCGATTTTGCTCTGATTGGCTGAAATTTTCGATTCAGATCACCTTGATACGTATTAAGGTCTGTTCACACGATCCAACTTTGTTGGATCCAATTCACTTCTGACGTATGGGATGTAGTTTATTATCGATAAAGCAGTACTGAATTGCCTTCAGGGGGGTTGCCGCCCATATTTATTGCAAGTCCACAAACTATTAAACATTTATCAGAAGTGAATTGGATCGTGTGAACAGACCTTTACAGTTCAGTTTCTTTGTAATTTTGTTCAATGGAATTTAGATATTCTTTCGAAAAATTTGATAATATCCCAGATGTGAGGATGTATTGAATTTCAGAAATGTGTTTTGAACTCCTATATTTGGAAATATTTTGAAAAAGATTAAACATATTGCCGCCACAATCTGATTGTTTCACGTGTGAAGAATATCGTACGTCCAATCAAAAGCTTTTATGGCATTTTTTCACGTGTAAAAAATCGAAGGCGCAATCAAATTGCATGAAGTTAATTTACCCAGTGAGAACGATTTTTACCTCTAAATACATAGTATAATAATTCATTTTTTTAAAAATCTTTGGTCCTTTCTTCCGCATTACATTAATGGTACGTTAGAAGTAACTTGACCTGTTGTGGAACATTCTACTCCAACATCATTAGAATGAGAGCAAGAATGAAATCCCCAAGGATCATGGGAACAACTCGTCACATTTTGCTCTTTTCCAGTACAAGAAACGGAAGATAACCATATCTGTCCAAAACCAGATAAAAACTCGGCCGCTCGAAGATTCCTAACAACATCTGGATAACCAAGTTGACGACATACAACCCTAGCATCTCTGAATCCCCATGAATAATTACAGATTGTTCCCCACTGTTTATTGTAAAATACTTCAACACGACCGGCACCCTTTCCACTCAATGGTCCTTGTAACCTGAGCAACACAGGCGCGATTATAAAATCTAAAAAGAATCCCGAAGAACATATAATTATATACATGATGTACATAGGCTGCAAATTCCATAATTTGTATGCACGAGATCATACATTGGAACTTCAATGTCTGCGCAATTAATTTCGCCTCTAAGATTTGAAAATACATCTCTTAAGGGTTCAAAAAAAGCACACAAATGAATTAAACTGATGAGTTCCATTACGAATGGCTCAGTTAAGAACAGAACTAAGAGAATTTCTTTTTCAGTTAATTTTACTTCACTTCGTGTGCTTATTTTTATAGTACTCGGGCAGATCTAGGGGTCATCATAGCGATCACGCAACAAAGGTAAAAATTGCCCAGAAAATTCCCTGAAAAAAAAAGCAGTCCAGTTGCTGAAATCAATCGTGCATAGTATTGGGATGATGTCACTGGGAGATGTTTTGCAGGCCTTCGAAGGTGAGCGCTTAGAAAAGCAGTCTTATGCAAGAGTTTTGCTCGCAACGTCATCAAATTAGCTGTCTCTCTTTTTGCACGTTCTCGATACCCGAATTCAGTCGGAAAGAAAAATTTTATAATAAAACTATTTATTAAACATGTGAATACAACACCGTGAGATGTGCTTTGGAGAAAGACGATTGGAAACTATCGAGGCCGATTTGAAGAAGCGAATAGACGCCTCAGCAAAGCGTTCAACTGAGAAACTACTAAACGAACTGAACAACACAAGCTTCTGCCTGGCGAGAAATTTTGCTGCGGAAACGTACATCCCAAAGTCTGTTTGGAGACAACAAAGAGGACCTGGTTTAGTTCGTACATAACAATATTTACTAATATTTCGTGCATTTGTTTATTGGTGATTGTGTTCTGTGAAGATGCACCAGGCCCACAAGCTATGAAATCGGGTGTTTCAATGTGAAAATTACATAAGATTTTGCTTTAATTTGCATATAACTGCATGCGGTGTATGCACTACACAGCAAAAGGAAACAATATACCTTCTGTGAAAGAATACCTTCTGTGAAATGTTCAACCAGGTATATTAAGGCAAAGCTTAGAGCACTGGACTGTGGTTTTTAATTTCAAAACTCAAAACACATGGTAGTACATTACACGCATACAAATGACCATATTTCCTGATTGCATTTAAACGATGAATACTAGTTTATCATACAATAATTCTAAATTGCCAATCATTCATACTCAATGGTTCATGAAGGTAGAATATGACGTTTTTGCTATCAATAATTGTCATGAAGCAACTTTATTTTTAGGAACTGTACAACTAGCCTAGGTTAATATTTACTCATCTTTATACCTAAGTGTATATACCTAAGTGTAATAAAACCTGTAAAAGTTTCTCTTTCTCTTAATGATTATAGAATTATTAAAGACACGAGACAAAATTTGAAATTAAAGCAACTTCTTTTTTACATATTGCATTTCCGGAGCTTGATTTAAGACGGGTAGAAACTCAGAACTTTTAGACAATTTTGACAAACCTTTAACTGGTTCCCCAGTAATGTCATTTCAGCAACTAAACATTGCAAGTATATATAATAATAGTTAATTATAACATTCAATGGAATACTAATGGTCAAGCACCCTAGATCAAGCACCCTATTGGATGGAACAGTAGTGACCTAGCACCACAAATCATTTATCCGTACATATAATATCCACATCCACAGTTATGATTTACCCCCCCCCCCCATATAAAACACACATTCCTAGTATTAGTCATTCCATGGTGTTGCTAGAGGTCTTTATAGGATGAATTAGAATAATACTGTCCAGCACCCTAGAAAATGGCCTGGCATAGTAGTGCATTGTGCACGATCTACATACAGTATTAGCGCCAAATTTTTGAAGAAGCCTATACCAACAATATGATGCGCCAGGTCATTATTATGCGAATGCTAGCCCTTTGCCTCTTTATATATACGCATGACTGATAAGGGATGGTATAGTATAACGGGTTTGGCGACAGGGGATTTTGGTTTATCCCTTAACAGTACATGTACAATTATCATGATGGAAGTTGGAATGCGCAGTTGACCGCGAATAGAGAGTGCTATAGATAAATAACTGCGAATACATAACACTCTTGCGCCACTGCTGCGAAAAGTTCCAACTTGGATGATTGCTCGCGTGAAAAATGACTGCGAATACAACACCATTGCGCCATCCTGCTGCAAAAAGTCCCAACCTGAACAAATTGGTCGCGAAACGAGATTGCCGGGTCATTGAAGAGTGACTGCGAGGACAACAATCGTGCGCCATTGTTATTTGAAATAAATTGGAATGCGCCAGTGAACTCAAATAAAACTGGAACGCTCACTCTATGACTTTCCCTCATTGATGAGTGAAGCCAAGATGGCGGATCATGATGCCTTTCTTGTAGGTATGATCCAGGCCTCTGGCGCGGAAACTTCAAAGGAAAAATCAGAATTCCCGACATCATACCTGGATCTGGATCATACCTACAAGAAAGGCTTCATGATCCGCCATCTTGGCTTCAAACTTCCGGCAGAGTGAGCGTTCCAGTTTTATTTCAGTTCACTGGAATGCGCAATTGGTCGCCAGACGAGAGCGCGGGCGTCATTGAAAAGTGAACGTGTACTGCTGACTGTAAAGAAGAAACCTGAAATTCCGATCTTCAATCCAACATATCTTTTGATAATTTGATTGCTTTCACCGATGTCGATGTAAGAAACACCGAAATGCTTCAAATGATAAGTTCATTTGAAATAGCGTATTTTTGGTTGCACCTATGTAAATTTAATTTTTTGGCTGTTCCTACTGTTGTGTCGAAAGACACTAATTAAGCGTAAAAGTTCGCTTCCTAAGATTTTGATAATCAATCAAGTATGATTGCTTTCAAATTTAATGTAAAGAATCATTGCTGCTAAATTTACCAATTTCTACTCCGTTGCAAATGTTTGAAGACGGGTGCTGGCGCCTTAAGGCTTAAAAACAGTCTGCATTTGCTCTTATGTGAAAATGGCTGTCCATGTCGGGATCACAAAATATCATGGTAGTATCACAACGTGCACATTTTACTTCAAATAAAACAATTCGCCATTGAGCTACCTATGCGTTAACTTCTCAAAACATAGTTAAAAATGGCGTTGATAAACTTTAGCGGAGTGAGTAAACCTTATTAATTTCTATTTATAAGTACGACATTTGATGCTAATGAATACATATGGCAAGTGATGAAGAGTGTGATGTTTTTTCTTTTATCAAAGCAGTTGAGTTGCATGGTATGAAATTTCTACTAACGGGGTAACTCTTCAATTTAACCGTTTTAATATTTTTAAATCATAGGATAAATTGTTGCAAGCTTAGACGATGTAAAGACATTGAAATAATCCAGGTCCTGTAATAAAATTATCTGTGCACCATACAGTAAAGGTAATGTTGTATTTGGTCAAAATGCAGGGAAGCAATGTGTGCCTATGAGTTTGCGTGCTTTAATATACAAGTTAAGTGATACATGAATGATAAGCCCAACAAATCTAATTCAAAGTATTAACATTGGTAATGAATTGTATTCAGTTCTGTGAAGATTACCCGGCCAATCTTTGTTGTTGCTTAATGAACTACCAAGGATGGTGAACATTTTAAAAATTGATTATCTCCTTAAATTCAGGAAAGTTACACTGGTAGTCTGCATGGGGCAAACATAATTGAATGACAATCATGTTTTTATTCAATTTTCTACTCCATGATAACCCACTATGGTTATTGGAATGATTTATGAACATGGCAATCTATTGGCTGATTTTTCGATTGAGCTAAAATTTACACTGGATTTTCTTTTCTTTAATTGTGATCGCTTAAGCCAAAATGTTATCTACTTGTTTATAATAGTAACAATAATGATAATATTACCAAAATCCTCTGACCAAAATCTATTAACGGAACAAGTTGCCGATGCGCAGTGTTGATAAGAATATTTTGTACGAAACAGACATGCTAAAAGCTAAAATTTCATCACGAAATGATGACATTGATTAATATTATAAGTTTATTTTTATTTAATTCTAAGTCACTAGATGGCACAAAAATGGTACTATAGAGTGAAACAAATCTTCCTGAACTGTCAAGCTAGGGTCTACGCTTTTTCCAAGCAAAGAACCGTCTTACTCCGCGTTTCCAAAAATAGCTCCATAAAGTCGTTCTACTAACATCAAGAATGTCTCAGCCGGCTGGGATTACTAACTCAAAATAAGTTATTTGTCTCTCTTCGGGCGTTTATATTAGATTTACGAAATCAAAACAAAATATTTTGTTTTGTTGTTGCATGTAAAGACTGTGAGTGACTTAGATTGACTTTCGGTTAGAAGGTATATAACGTTCCAGTTATTTTCATTTCACTTCATGCGATGAAACTTGATGCGTTTAAAAAAACCTCTAGTTTACAACGAAATTTATTGCAAAATGGTGTGGAGATATTGGGAATACCCCTTTCACCGCTAAATATTGCTTTTGCAACACGTACTCTTTAAATATTTTTGGCTTGCAGCATCTAGTTTTAACCGAATTTTATTGTGGTGTAGTATTTCATATTTAAACATGAAAATTTATAACAGAAGCTTATCGAACATTAAAATTTCAATACCGGCAAATTTTCCTACTTTTAAAAACGATTACCAATATCGATTTATCCGATAACTTGTACCTGTTCCTTTGCACTCCACTCCGGCATCTTCGGAATGTACGCAATTATGAACACCCCAACGACGATGAGAGCAACTTGCTATTCCTTGTTCTTTTCCAGTACAACGAACATCATCCAACCATATCTGTCCAGAACCAGGAAGAACATGGCTCGAGCTCCCTTTTTTAAAGTAGTTTAAAGCATCTGGATAACCAAGTTGTCGACATACAACCCTAGCATCTTTAAAATCCCAGTAATCATCACAAATTGTTCCCCAACTTCCATTGTGAAATACTTCAACACGTCCAATACCATCTTTACTTAATGGTCCTTGTAACCGGAGTATCTTGGTTAAAGCTGTAATAAAATGTGCAAGATTATTAAATGTGCGGTTTTAATGATATGCTAGATTGAGACACTGGTTATTCGAATATCGAAGAGCAATGATTAGCTAGCTAACTTAGCTAGCAGCCATGCAGGTCTATTAGGTGCTTTAAAACGGTGCTAGGTTTTTTGGGTGCTTTTATTACTCTTATCTTTTGTACTACATTCAACTCCGGCGTCGCTATTATGTGAGCAATCATGAACACCCCATCCTCTATGGGAACATCTTGCAACACTTCCCTCTGCTCCCGTACAATCGACGTCATCTAACCATATCTGTCCTGAACCAGATCGAATCTGGCTCCCATGAAGGGCCCTACCATCTCGATAACCAAGTTGATGACATACAACCCTAGCATCTCTCGTGTCCCATGCATCGCCACAGATAGTTCCCCAAGCTCCATAATAGAAAACCTCAATACGACCAATAAGACTTGCACCTGATGCTCTTTGTACCCTGAGTTACACAGTTATAGCTATAAAAGTAAACGTTTGAATACGTATGTAATTAAAAGGAAATTCATGTAAGCATACCGTAAAAGAAATCAATTTCCAAAGAAGTTAACAATGAATAATGAATATTTGCCCCCGTACCCCACTCAGATACCCGAGGTCACTCACCCTGACTGCATGAAAGTATACGTAATTCAGTCAAATACGTACGAAACAGTAGTATTCTGCAAGCTCGTAGCTATATTAGAGGCTGATCACATGGAGTGTTTTCAGCCCGGGCTGAGTTTCAACCGAGGTGAAACTTGGTGTTGTTGTCTTGTAATCGAAAATAAATTTCTGTCCGGGTTTAAAAAATAAACCCGGACAGAAAAATTCGCCTTGAGAATGCTTTTTCGTTTGTTTATTTAATTTTTATGTGCAGTCATAGTCCCTTAAAGGTTAAGTTATTGTCATTCGGGAATTTAAAGAGCTCGAAGAATCGAGATAGGTCAGTACTACCAGCCTTAACAAACTCAGCCCGTGCTCTTAAAATAATTCTGACGTGTCATAACACAGCCCTGGTTAAAACTTGCCATGTAATTGAAAAATACTTTGTCCCCTGTTTGCCGGGCTGAAACTGAGCCCGGGCTGATTAAAACACACCCTGTAATCAGCCCTTAATTCAGAAGCGATTTACTGTCGTACCAGTGAAATACATCCTTGCATGTACACGGAACGTTAAAGACTACACGGTAGTATAATATTGTTTTTTTGTATATGGATTGGGGTGATTAACTGAAAACTAAAACACCCGCGTAAAACTCATGCGGCACTACATCCGGGATTACGTGCATGCGCGTATTTTCCGTATATCACGTTTTTTCAAAATTTCCTGCTATTTTCTGTTGTGGTTGTGAAAATACAAATTGTCTTCAGTTTGGTATATAAAACAAAATTAACGCTTAAAATATGCAGAAAAACACTTAAAAGATATCTTTAGATAGGTAAAATTTATTCCATATTTATGTTTAGGCTATAGTTTAATCAATATTCGCTTTTTTAATGGTCTTTCGTGGCGCCATACTTGTCGTCTTTGTGTGTATTTTCACCTGTTACACGGTGCAATTTTTCTTGCAACTTGCAATGCAATTCTACTTTTGAGAGATGTATATTTGGGAACAAAGAAACTTTTGTGTTTATTACACTTCGTGCATTTTTCTTCTGCAAGACTCTTCACTAATTTACATCTCTTAGAAGTAGAATTGCATTGCAAGTTGCAAGAAAATTGCACCGTGTAACATGGCCTTTAGTGCATATAATAAATAGAACATTACACGGTTCGCTGGAAGATATGGCTCGTGTAAAACTGAAGCAGTCTCACTCGTTCACTGCACTCACTCGTGAGATATTGTTTTTGCCACTCGAACATAAAATCCAGATTCACTGGCAACCGTGTAATATCCTTTATAATATAAAACTTATAGTACGTGCGTGCTGATTGGTCGAGAAGCATGTTTCTATAACTGTATAGAAACACGGGAACTTTACGGCCGAATTTGACAAACGAGGTAATGTAATGAGCATTTATAAATAAATCGAATTATAATGTGTACAATCTGCGTAATATAATTTGTACAAAATCTTTTTATTCAGTCATATTATAAAAGAGATAAAAAAAAATTTCCTGTGTTTCTACATAGTTATGATTTCCCACTGATAATTTCTCGTTCTCCCAAACTTCACGTGTGTTTCTATAATTGATAGAAACACTGAAAATGTTTTCAATATACATCGTCAGGAAAATTCTGCAATAATGTTGGGGTTTTCAACTCAAATAACACAAGATTAAATGGAAATATCCTTGGTGTACGTATAATATTCAGAGAATAACGGAAACTGTCGAGAATCAATAACGATGACAAAAATAATTTTGACCTATTGTTGACCTAATCCAAGAAATCAAATGTTAAATGAAATTGGGATTTTTGGTCTCAAATGATTTTTATTATAACTTCTACCTGTGGTATTACATTCAACTCCGGCATCTTCGGAATGCCTGCAATCATGAACACCCCAACCACGATGAGAGCAATTTGCTATATTCCGTTCTGTTCCTGTACAAGCAACGTCATCCAGCCATATCCGTCCAGAACCAGAAGGAACCTGGCTGCCTTGAAAGGCCCTACCACCTGGATAGCCAAGTTGACGACACACAACCCTTGCATCCATGGAATCCCATGTATCATCACATATGGTTCCCCAAACTCCATTGTAGAATACTTCAACGCGGCCAGTAACATTTTGACTCCTTGGCCCTTTTAATCTGAGTGACATGCACCGGTGCTATAGAAAGTGCATGGGCAGATGTGAATATATATGTAAATAAATTATATGATATCTAATTCTGTATAAAATATTCGTGACTGAAATAACAAACAACAATTTTTAGCTGGTAGCTAGGCATTTATCTCATTCTAGTATTTACGCCTGCGATGGGTTCGAAAACAGTGCATAATTAGGCACAACGTAACAGTAAATGAGCATGTTAATTTCCGCCTGCGAGGTCCGCATAGATATTTTTCTATTGGGAGCGACCAAAAAGGTAAATAACGTATTTATTTTTTTACAAAAAGCAGCGTTCGGTCGTATTATCATTCAGTAGTCAGACTCAGCAATGGCGACAAAAACGTAAACAATCAAAACCTCATTTGTTTAATTTACTAAATTTCACCACAGTTATTAGAATATACATGGTTTGGAGACTAGATGGAAGTACAATACAACTCATTATCTATGTTATTGTCCAGGTTTATGCAAAAAATGGTTCCTTATCCGTCACATGTCTATTGTATTTTAGCCCAACTAACCAATAGCAATGGCTTGGTTTAGCTCCTCAACCGTGACTTGAACAACATGTTAATTCAGACCTTGCTATTGGTTTATTTGTTCAAAATACAATAGACACGTGACGAATAAGGAACAATTTTTTGCATAAATGTTCCCCGACATAGATAATGAGTTTTATTGTACTTTTATGTAGTCTCCAAACCATGTATATTCTATTAACTGTGATTTCACTCAATTAATTTCATCGTGTCCACATATTTAATATAATTATATAAAAGGCAAAAGTTTGCGATCACGGTTGTCGTTCGCTTCGAACGGAATGTTATAAACAACTGTGAACGACAACACAATAATCATATCCAAAACTCTTAAGAAAATGTCTGTCAGTCTGAGTTAGCCGGCCAAGGTTAAACCCCCGTCCCATCACGGTTCAACCGTAATCATACCGAGGTTTGATCAGGTTGACCGCGCTTTTTGTTAGGCAATTTTTTAACAGTACTGTATATAAGTCGACAATTTGGGGCGCGGGTCTAACGTTTCTCCTGTTTTTCCAATTTTCTCCACCCTTGAAAAAGGAAAATCTTATACTCGTAACCGTAGACCGAAGCCAGCCTCTTATCTTTGTATTCAATAATTATTTACCTTGACATTGATGTGGCATAAAGTGATTTAGAAAAAAAAGCGCACCAGTTAAGACGACAAACCCCCTCATCTCCTGAGTAAGTAAACTAAAACAATGAAATTATATTAGCTATATTATTGTGAATTTGTCCTTTTATATAGTCGCTGTGCTGTTATAATCATATTATATTTTTTACCTGATGAGTGTGGCAAGCTCAACGCTTGTCATACGAAACAGTTCTGTAGTAAATAAAATTCTTTAAATAAAAATATATTGTTATATATTATATATCTTGTAAATAAAAATATATTTATATATATTTGTACTTTTGCGCTTAATTGAGCCATGTGTTCACTTGTGGATATATATTTGTAAGGTGTGTTTGTTCTTCTACACAAGTATGACCAACCGGGCAAGCAGAAAATTCTGCTTGACCGCGGTGGGAATCGAACCCGCGACCTGCTATATATCCACAAGTGAACACATGGCTCAATTAAGAGCAAAAGTACAAATATATCAACATTTGCAGAAGTAACTGCATAACGACATGTAAAAGGACGAAACTCCGCATTGTCAATAACAACTTAAGTAAAATCACAGTCGTTCCCAACTTGGCCTGGTAGCTCAGACGGTAGAGCATCGTTCTGGAAATGCGAAGGTCGCGGGTTCGATTCCCACCGCGGTCAAGTAGAATTTTCTGCTTGCCTGGTTGGTCATACTTGTGCAGAAGAACAAACACACCTTATATATATTGTCCCAAGTGCAGGAAGTCACCATTGCGCTCTGGTGATAGCCGGGAGGGCACATTGTTTTACACGTGTTGTATATATATATTAATATATATATATATATATATATATATATATATATATATATATATATATATATATGGTTATAGACAATGTGAATATGCAAATTTCAACCAAAACCACCTGTCCGGGTAATGTAGTCCGCCCTGGTATAAATTATGTTATTATTGTGTATCTGACCAAATCTAGTAACAAAAAAGCCAGATCAGGTCACACAGGTTATTCGATGCTATAGCTATTTGACTGAAATAATTTTCATTTCAAATTGGAAAAACAGGGTAGCTGGAATACAGCTTGTTATTTGCTTCAGAAGGCTCTGCAAGTATTTTCTTTATATATTTCAACTCATAAGCAATTATAAAAGTTAACAACTTTGTATGAATTGCGGATATAGCACTATCCACCGGATAGTGGTTTTATCAGTCGCTTGAAAATGCTCATATTAGATCGTAGAATATCGCCGATAAATTAGGACATATGAAAACCAGGCTTTATCCTATATCCAATTTATTTATTTGAGTTAAGTTATTAAACCATGAAAAGCACGGATATCTCGTGTTCTACCTTGTGGAACGCAAAACGGTAGATCTTGAAATTAATACGTTTGTAACTTAAAATCTTACAGAATCACCGCATTGACAAAGCTATAGCTGAAACTGAAATGACAGCCTTTTTAGACCGTCGTACAGTGACCAATCAATGGATGAATGTTATACAATCCTAAATAAACTATTCAAAATAATTTTAGTCAGACAGACAGAAGCATAAATTACATGCAGCATTAGAGGGCATTCATGCAGCATTTGCTCAGAATAAAAGCTAGAACTGTGAAATCACTTTAAAACATGATCCTGCATGTCATTCGTTTATAGCTGTCCTAATAATAAATAAGATGTGCTTGTTTGCCGGCCTTAAAATCTTGCCGTGTTTCATTCAGATCATCAAGATCGATAACAAACGCCATAATGTATTTGATGTGTATAGAACTATAATAGCACCCAAACGTAAACTGTTTCCTGTTTTGTTGAGACTTAATTGAATCGTCGCAAACATTTATATAAATAAATGCCATGCTGTATACGTACAATTCTTCTGCACCACGAAGCTATGTTTCGAACGATGTCCAACCCGTATAGCGATGTCAGTGATTACTTTGGTGAGTACAGTATGTATATGTAACACTGAATAAAGCGTCTTCTTCATACGTTTTCAATTTAAAAACTGCTTATTAAATTTAAATAATGTTTAAAGACACTTCTTCTATTCTTATGATGATATAATCCTGCTGTTGTTATGAATATTAATTCCTTATAACTTTTTAAAAAACGTGACAAACAGACGGAATTATTCAAAGGAAATTAGCAATCATCAGACTAAAAGTTTTTAAAAAGTATACAAATTGTTTTATATATAGCTACCACTCTCCTCCGCAGAGGCTTTTTGGGTAATCTAACAATAATTGAGAATTATATAATACAATTGAGAATTATATGATATAATTCGTAGTAGCGGGCGGACGGGAGGGAGCTAATAATAGTAGCGGTGAGTGGCGGGCGGACGGGAGGGAGTCGGGCGGTTGCGGGTTGAAAAATGAAATTTGAGAAGCCTCTGCCATATAATGTTTCCAATATGGCGTCAAATTACATATCATATTATAATTACGTATCATCTCATGAATATTTTTCAAAATAAATATGGATGAGACTATAAATCAAACAAAGAATGTTTTGTCGTTGACTACCAGACCATTTCAAGAAGCGAATGTTTCCGGTAAAGTAATCTGTTCTAAATGTTATGAAAATACGAAAGAAATAAAATTTTATTTAGAAGATGCAGGTTTAATTCAACATTTTCGGGTGAAACATCGACATATGATATCAAACATCGACATAAAGCATGGACTGCACTCTTGACACGATACTCACTGACAGGTCGCCCATTTTTCTTGTGTAGAAAAATAGTACATAGCACATTAAACAAAAGTGGACAATTATCTTTAACATCTGAAGTCAATTTGGAAAAACATCCAGTGAGGTCACATTCAGTTAATGTTTTTGAACTAAGTTCTGTGTTCAAAAATGTAGAGAATACAGAAATTTCTTTTTGTAATTGATCTACTTCAAAAGTACAAATATTTTCACACTGAGTCTGTTTTGATGTTAACTGGTTAATTGCTTTCTGAAGTAGACTTGTTAGTAAGTCATTCAGTTCCTGCAGTCTGTTGTGTGCTTCTAGTTGCTTGTGTAGCAATGCCTTCACAACATCTTTGTTTACATTTTCTTTTGATAAATGGTCATCAACATTCTTTCTTGCTAAATCAAGTTCATTAGTAGCACTGGATATCAGTGTCTTGATGTTTGCTATCTCTGGACTTTCGTTTAATTCCAGTGAGGAAACATTGCTTGTGGACACTGGTGCAGAAAACGATTTAATACAAATATTTTTATAAAGCTGAATGCGGTCTGGTCCAGTACCTTTTCTAATGACCATTGAGTTTGGAAATGCCAATTTGACAGCATTTGTGGCCTGTATTTTTTGGTAGTTGTTCAACTGTAGCACCTTCATAACAGCTTCTTGCTTTACCTGAGCACCTTCTCTCTCTTCAAAATGCTCTAACAACATTTTGACATAGCTCTCCCTTCTTCTTTTGTAAAATACTCCACTTGGCTTTGGCAGTTCGCATGACTCTATTAAAACACCATAAAAAAACAAAGTTAAGTATACAGACATAAAGTTAATGTTACATTCAATTAATATTACTGTACTTTTACATTTTAAACCACAGTGCTACTATCTTATTGTAATGACAAACATTATGATAGCTATAATGGAAAGCTTCAATTTGTGCTAATAGAATGTGCATCCACCAACACACATTAAGTAACTCAAACACAATAAGGTTTAGGTGTTTAGCTGTATACTGTATATAGCAACTGGTTATACAAAACATATAAACTAAAATGTTCAGGTTATGAAGAAAAAACATTTTTGTAGATTTTAATAATATAATATAAATTTAAAATATGATAATTAAATATTTGAAATAAATTTTCAAT